TTACGAACTTTTGGCGATGTAAATACTCAATGGGACATGCAAAACGTCATGATGGATGCGCACCTATTACATAAGGGAAATGGCACAGCTTTTGTTTCCACAACGCGATGACAGTAGAATGAAACGACGTTACAGCGCGTAAAATACGTTGAAAAATTATTGAGAAACGGTGCGCTATTACGGGGAAGCATGAAACTGGCGCATTAAATGCCGCGAGCAAAAGCAAAGAGAATTGAATATTTTTTTTTATCGACCTTCTTTTTTTAGTCTCGTCGTTCTTTATTTGCAATCAACTTCCAGTCGACAGGCAAATACCAAGAATAACGCGCGGCGAAACATATTTCCTACCTCTATCTGCATGTAATTTTTCTTCTCCTCGCAAAAACGCTGAATGTCGTCTTATAAAACTCGTTCTCACCTAACTCGAAAGCGCCTTTGGAGCTGACATTCGTATTTACTTTACTTAAACTCCATTTTTTCTCTAGACGAATCGTCGACGATTCACTCTCGTTGTGCGTCACTTTGTGCAACACAACTTTGGAGATATAGCGTCTCGCGATAAACATAACGACATCAGCAATTAATATGAAACAATTTAATATGAAACAAAGCGCTGCTAACTTTGCAATTATGTTGTAAAGTAGATGTTGTAAAATTATCTACAAACGCCCAAATTCCTTAGACAGAGAAACTTGCGGTCGAGCTTGCGGTTTTCGTACGTGTTCTATATCTAGTCTCGGTTTACCTACCGGCACGTGCACCGACATACCAACGAGATATTTCGTTGTAGACGAAAAATTTTCGTATCTCCATTCGACGCGCTCATGTCTCATGTTTTTCGTGCATTTTGTTTCGGAAGGAATAGAAAGAATCTCGAGTGTGCTGCAGTTTCTGAGATAAGAAAGACACAGGACATTTCGTACGTTCCCTAGAGCGCGCAAAATCTGTCCAAGATTAACCGAGAGCACATTGCGCTGCGATATGTAGACATCTCTGAGATATTCCATTAACATTCCCAAGAGCGACCAAGATCATCCTTAAATGTCCCAGATGGCCCGATGTGATAGCTGCGAATACAACTGACGTACGACGGTGCGAGAGATTCGCACTACGTTCACGTGCAGGATCCACTCCCGTATATTTTAGTAGTTTAAGGACCTGAGCGCGAAAGCAGAAATGGTGATTTTAATTTTAATTTTAATGTTGCTTGATTTTATGTAAAATAAGAATCCTATTAACGTTGGTTGAAAAAAAAGTGGCCGTAAAATAAATGCATATTCTATACCTTGCAAATAAAATAAAAAAATATTTAAGGTAGCATGATAGAATTAATATCAATAAAACATAATAATGAGTAATAATGTATTGTATCTTGACCGATTATTGCGCCCAATCAGATCAAGATTATAAGCGTACGCCGATCGAGGAACGGCTTGAAATCCCACAATGCGCATCGCCGGCGTCAAACAACGAAGAGGCGGCAGAAGCATTAGAGTCGCATTAGGGATCGCATTAGAGTCGACGATAATAGCTTGGAATCGGCAGCAAGAGGCTTCGCCTGCGTCTCGCAGCCGGCAGACGCTGTTCCCTTGGACGAGAAGGGCTCACTTCACTCGGCGCGCTGTATCTATAATTTGGTGAGGGATCGGGACAGAGGGAAGAGACGCGGGCTCCGCTCGGAACATTCGCGGAATCTGGAACGGCACGGACGTGCTGCCTATTGATCTCTCTTCACGACCGCGCCGTCGTGACTCGCCAGTCGATCGCAGGTCATCTTGACCACCAAGTCCGAAGTATGAAAGTTAGGGAAGGGACGTTCTCGCACATCGCGTCGTTGGACAGCCGGTTCTTGGAATTATATCCTTGGAACTCGGAAATGTGAGGTAAATGCCTATTGAACCGGACGGATAGGACGACTTCCGCCGTGAATTCCAAACTGATTGGCATCCCCGTGGCTTATACCGGCCGGTCCTTTCGCGGGGGACGTGAAAATTGCACCCCGAAAGTCACGGTGCATTGCCTTCTCATGGGGGAGGCGACAAAGGTCCGCGCGTGAATTGAAATTCACACATTGCGGCTTCGAATTTTCATTCTTGCTACGAATATCGGTTTTTACGGTATAACGCGCATGAATGATGTAATGACATGCGTCCGTAGATTTAAATATCGCAAATATTCGCGGGTTCGGACGAGTTGGTTTGGTTACCGCGTGTCAGATGATAAATCGTGACGGACGTTTTCGAAATTCACGTGCGTGGAAATATAACCATCGATCTGTCTGTATGGGTCGTGCCTTTGTCAACGATAAGCTCGTCATTGACAACAATCGAGCCGTGTGAGCTGTAAAAGCCGTACACAAAATTCACGAGAGAATCTCTCTCATGGAGCTATCAACGATATTTTTTTTTTGTTTAAGGTTGTCTGTACGTACATCTCTATGATTTCAAAATTTATAACTAACGATGCATTTTAATCTAAACGATTTACAATGCATATAAAGATGCATTGTAATTTGAAAATACAAAGATTTATTAAACTGCAATACGCGTGATTTACAATATCAAAATCTATGATTGAAAGTAAAGTGAAATATTGTTGCGTTATAATACGAAGCGAATGTGTTAAAAAAAACACACTTTTTTAAGAAATATCTGCAAAATAGAGTATCTAATTTTTGAAATTAATTATATCGCTTATATTTAACAAAAATTAACAGTTTTTGTTAAATATAGTCATTTGATTTGATTTATCTCTTTAATAAATATGCGCTGTTGAATATTAAACGAGCAGATGTAAACCAATTCTCTAATTGTGAGTTAAATAATATTTTGTTATTTTTAACTTTCATGTGCCTCAAAGGGTATTATTTTGATACAAAACATGTGATTAAACAAATAACTACATCTAATCAACCCATTTCTGTAAATGAATTACTTAGTTCTAAAATAAACATTGTTTATATTAACGTATGCACTAGGTTAATATAAAATAAACTTGAGTCAAATTTAATACATTTCTCGAGTTAAGTTATTTATTTAACTGAAACTCTTCATTGTTTTAGTTAAATTAACAACGTATTGAGTATAGGAGCAATGGGAACTTGTAGAAATGATTAAAAATGGCTCAAATTGAGTATAATTTGGCATAACAAATTTAACAGTGTGAAATATGATTTAATCGATCAATCTAAGAGCATAATTAAAGCAATGACTCGACGGAACAAAGCGATGAAATTATTCGCGAGACGCGAGAGGAAATAGTTGAAGTAGAAAGGTACATCCACTTGAAGTCGACGACAATATTCACAACACGTCGCGGGAAGCGCTGTAATGTGCTCTTACCTCTGACAAAGCGAATGCTAATCAAGTACTACTCCGCGGAGTTCCGCGCGCATTAAAATTCATGGCAGATCGATATAACAATTAATCTTAGCACGCGCGGCGCATCGAATCGTCGTACGTCGGTAATCGATACTCGATGGTAGACAATTAAGATACAGGACCCCCGACGTTAGAGATGAGGATACGTGTCCCCGTTGCCTCATGCGACAGGGTTTGCTGCCGCGGCGATCGCTTCATAAATTTATCCCCATGCCTGACACGTCCCACCGGATCGTTTCGTTGCTTATAGATTCTTATAAGGATCCATAATCCACAGGAAGAGAGTGTTCGCGTTCTCACGCCGTTAGCACAAGAGCCCTTGACGGAATGCAAAATTCATTCTGGGATCGGGAGAGGTCCTCAGGACCGATCTCGCTTCCCGTAATCGCTAGTCAATATCATATAAAGAGACGAAGATCGCGGGTCGGACGGTTAATTTTCCTGAGGCGGTATGGGAATATTCTCGGAATTCTTGGCGTATTCTCGGAATGCCGAAGACGCGTGGGATATGCCTATTGATCTTTCCGCGGTGGGTTTCCGATGTGGTCGGTATAGTCGGTGACACACGTGACTGTAGTGCATCTCGGATCTCGTCGGGTCCTTAACATGCAGTTTCTTAACATGATAATTCCGTCCCGTCTTCTGCACGTTCCACGTGTTTCACCGTCATGGCACATATTGTTCATTTTTTTATCTAGAATTGCAAAGACAATTGAAGTCGGTTAACGAAAACATATTTAAAAAAAAAATCAGAGAAACCAAGAAGAATAATAAAAAAATAAAAACAAAAAATGAAGTAAAATAAGATAAAAAAAGCATAAAATTAATAAGTAAGTATTCTATACGTTTATACACCGTTATCTGCGCGAGTCAGCGGCTTTATCGTCAAATGTTTGCGATGACAGAACGTCTTTGGGATCGTATCAGAAGTGAGAAGAGTCGGGAAGTTGGCGATGAGACTCGCCAACCTGACCCAAGAAATGGGTGATCCTCAGCGACCACCAGTCAGCACGGATAGACGACGATCAAGCCTTCGCTAGTGCACGGAGGTCGCGCAAGAAGATGACAGGGATGGCACTCCATTATCGTTCTGTAACTCCTTTTAATTATCTCGGCCATAAGTTATAACCGGATTCGCGCTTTTTCGCGTCCTTATCGGACCGGGGCCGCGATTTTCCCGGCGCCGACGGGAAGAAGAGAAAAAAAAAGAAGAACGAAGAAGGAGCGGAGATGAGGGAAGAGGTCGACGAGGGAACAAGAAGAGGAGGAACAAGGCGCAGAAGAAGAATAAAGCAAATAAGAAGAAGTAGAAGAAGATGAGGAAGAAGAAGAAGAAGAAGGAGGAGGAGGAGGAGGAGGAGGAAAAGGGGGATGCGCGCGAGATAGGCAACGGGGCAAAAGGGTGGCGGCTCCCTTGCGCGCGCGCGGGGGTAAGGGAAACGGTCTGATATACAACCGAGCTATGGGAGGAAGTCGCGCGCCCGCGCGCACACATAGACACACGTACGCGTGCACTGCCACCCACACGAGCAGCCGCGGGTGCACACAGGCGCAGTTCCGCGGGCTGAACGGGGCGGCTGCGTGCTCGACGCCCGAGTGGCGCTCGCGCAATGTAGTCCCTCGGCTATCCTCGACGCGGGAGCATCGCCGTTTCGAAAGAGCCGCGACCTTCTCCCCGTCGCGTCGCGTTCCCGGTGGTGTTCAGGGGGCAAAGTACGCGCGAGAGGGGCCCGTTCGCACACTCCCGAGGACCTTTTCTGCGGACCCTTTCGCGCAGCGTAGAGAAAGCGCGCCGAATCGACGTGACACAACGACAATGAAAACGCAACCCCGCAGACTCCGTCCCCGTGCGATTCTTTAGAATTGACGGTGACTTTACGCTCGTACGATCGCTTTGCCTCCGATCTCTCGCCCCCTCGTTCCCGCGTTTCTTCCGGCCGTTCGCGTGCATATTTCGGAGTAGCGCGAGATAGTGCGTGACGCGGTGCGTGTATCCCCGGGGCGTCTTCGTTCGCGATCTTATCACGAAGTGATAGTGATGGTATAGTGAAAGCAGTGTCTGCAAACGATATCGGCGCCGAGCGGATGATCGTGCCGGAAGATTTCGATCGTCCAGTTCGAGCTATTTGACGTTCGATCGAGGCTGCTATACGAGATCGGAGTGGAGAACGCGAAGTCGGAGCATCGTTGAACATTTTTGAATTTCGAAAAATTTAGATAGCCGCGCGAACATTTCGTTGTCACGGCAGTGATTAAGTTATACACTTGTTCAGCAATAAATCTCTTTCACTGCCCGCCCGAAAAATTATAACAAACTTCGCTCGCAGAGGAAAGAGAAGGAAACATTACTGATCGTTAAATAAAAAGAAAAAAAATCATCGATCGCAGATACGTATGTGAATTTCGTCGCAAATTCCGTCCTGTAGTGCTTTGCTTTGCCGAACATAAATCATACGTGAAACATCTTCTCGGCTTCATGATAGAAGCGTAGTGTCCCTGAGCGTTTAAGGACATCGCCGACGGCCTCTGGAGAGTCTGCGTTTAATTGCCGGTGGCATCAGACGGTGCAGAGGCGCGCCGTTACAGGCGAAGCAGACGGCGAGAGGAAGGCGCGGTAGAGAAAAAAAAATCACATCCACCCAGGGCCAGGGAATCGTGCTGCCGCGGCTGATGGGGAGATGTTAAAGTTAAAAGCCGCTCGTAAAACGCGTCGTCTCGCGGGTGCCACAACACTGCCATTGTGCGTGCGAAACTTGTTTATTTCGGCCGCAACACCAACGTCGACGCACAATTGAAAGGTCGGTGGAAAAAAAATTCGCGGCCTGCTCCTCTGCTGCTGACGCGCCATCGAACATTTCGCGCGGCGGACAGAGAGGCTCGCGATCGTGAAAGGGAGCGATTTGTATAGACCGATCGTCTGAAACGACAGCTATAGAGGAACAAAAGGAGTGCGGAAGCGAAGTTCCTTCCTCATTTGTGGCTACTATCGAAGCACGTATTCGAAGTCGATCCCCCCCCCCCCTCCTCCTCTGAGGAGGAAGAGAAATTGCGAGCCCGGAAAAATGCGATGAAGCCGCGCACAGCGGGGCAAATAACCGCGGTGGAATGATCGATGGAACGTCCAGTGCATCGTGTGGATTGCATTAATAACGACGACCAGCAGCCTAATGCATCGGCAGCGATCTTACGGTCGTCGACGTTAGCGAGAGGAGACGAAAACGCCGCTTAGCGCCGGATGGAAACCAGTCCTCGCGTCGATCAATATGGATCCCAGTGGAGTAATCTCCGTCGGAAGAGTGAGTGATAATGCAGGTGACGCGGAAATCGCCTAAGTAAGGGTCGGCAGCACGCGACCGCCGATAACGAGGCTAAAGTTTATCGCTATCTGATAGACGTCGAATATACGCCGCGATGTAAAAAAAAAAAAAAAAAAACAAGTCTATTTTTCGCAGAGATCGTCAGTGATTCTCGGCCGATGGACTAGTGGAATAATAAACGTCAGATTAGTTATTTATTAAAGCATCGGTTTTTCGGGGGAGGCAGCCGGATGGTGGCCGTTCGCACGAGATACGCGATACTCGCGAAACCACGGTATACGTTAACGCGCATCACCAATTAGTGACGTCGCTCCGTAATTGGGAGAATGTGGTATCGTCGTGGAGTTGTTTCGTGATAGTGAGCGAATTATTTAAGCAGTGGCGTACCAGTTTATCGTTCCAGTTTGGCGCGATTTCAGCTTCGACGAGGGAAAACTAATTGAGACGCGTCACCGTTCTAATTTGTGCAACGTAAAGCGAGAGCGTTACGGCATTTCCATTCGCGTCGCGCGAGTGGCTGTATGCTTGGATATACGGTGCGGCACGAGGTGATCCTGTCCGCTACCGAACGAGAGAACGTGGAATGCCGCGATCGACGCGCGGAGTGTGTTAGTGGATCCCCCATCTCTATCGCCGTTCAGCGTCTCCTGAAAACGACTGCGATGCGCCTGAGATAGTATATCAATATGTGAATGAGCCACGCCGGGGAAAAGCGATGTCTACTTCTCTTCCCACACTTGTCTGTTTTATAATTTGTTTTGGTGAGTGCTCCTGCATCTATCAAATTCAATTACAGACGTTTATATCGGGAGCATTTACGAGAGTTTACGAGGAAGATTCGGAAACAGCTCGTTTCAATAATACAATTATATATTAGATAGATGCTTCGATTTATTTATCTTTTTGATCTCTCGTTTGTGCAACCCGAATGTTATAGTATCATTGAACATTGGTTTAGCATTACAATCTGTTTACGTAATAACGTATTTCAACTGTGTTAACCTACCAGCTTAACGTTACAAATATCGGGAAAATCCAGGCCAGTAAATCAAATAGAGATCACGATTCTCGAACTATCGATGCGCCAATATTCGATGTATTCTCGTTAATTGCACGCGCAATTATTGAGGCACCTAATAACAGCGGTATATTACGTGGCTTTAACTACCGTATGCTGTTACGTTACGTTCAAGTCCCAAGCACGTACGTTCCAATTAATATTTCGTGACTCGGCGCAGTCAAGTCACTTGTGTAGAAGCGAGGGGGTTTGGTTGACGATCGCGACGACATGTCTGCCTACAGCAATCTGCGTACGTGTGTACGATGATTGTAGCGGCTGCCTCCGATGTGAATTTTTATGAAAAAAAACTCTGGAATTATGTCAGGAAAAATATATAGCGTAGTACAGTTATAAAAATATATTTACATTTTTTAAAGCACTGCCACGCATTATGAATCTAGCTGAATATTTGCTGAAATTAGAGAACAGAACAATATACATGTATATAAAATCATCATATAATATGCAACATTCTAATGAGTTTTGTGCATTATAGTAGATTTCAGCAGAATATTAATAATGCTTTATGTAGAAGTTATGACAAGTTTTTTGTACTTAAGATAAAGAATGAATCAATGTGCATTTAACATAAAATTGTCGATAAATTACAAAAACAAATTTGATAATTGCTGTGAGTTATTCAGAAGCATGCAGTAAAGCTATTTAATGTTTAAAAAAATTTTTCATACTACCACTTGTTTTTACTTCTACATACTTATATCTTTACTACATATTTATATCTTTAAATATTTCATAAGTCTTTTTAATGTTATTCATATATTTCTTCTCTCGACAGTAATGTGTACAGTAATTATTAACGCATCCTGAACGCATATATGTGTCTCTACTGGAAACAGATGGATAAAAAAGTCGAGGATTTTCTCGAAAATACACCAATATTTGGCACTCGGCGCAAACGATGTATCTCGAAACTTTCTCGTGGAAATACACAAGGCATGTTTTCCGAAAGTTCGCGCGCTGATCAGCACGCGGTCGATGAAAAAGTACTTTAGAAAAACGGACACAGTCTGTGCGAACTAAAGCGCTTCTATTCATTCGCGAACTATAATCAGATATCTCGCGGCGAGATGACCGAACAAAAACGGCGTATCGGCATATTCGATCAGCAGCATTCGCGCGTTTCTGTTAATTTTCCGAGCTCGAATGGCTGAATGAACAGCTGTGATAAAAGTTTTCAATAAAATATACATATATTAATCGCCGGCACGACCGTGCAATGCTTTGAACTGTTTGCGATTTTATGAAATTCGTACTTGGTCGAAATTCCACCTAGAGTTCCAATTTCACTCGGATGCGCACAAAAGCGCTTCGCGGAGGTTGTGTGAAACGAAAAAGAAAAAAGGAACATCGACTCTGCAATGACAGCGCGTGCATATTTTAACCGACCTACATGTAGCCGTAGCTTCAATTATAGTGTACTGCGCCTCGTGGCGTGTATACATTGTACAGTATACCTACTATACATATATACATATGCGACAAGTTACTCTTGCCACTAATACTTAAATGATGGTTAAAATAAGGCAGTGATACCACGTAAATTTAAGTTATCACTGCCGCACGTTTTAATTCATATTTAACACATCAACGCTATTAAAAAAAAAAGAAATGTACAGAAATGTTGCAGAAAGCGACTTTTATAATGATGAATTATTTCAAACGAATTATTAGAGTATTATTAGAGTAAAAGTGCGTTGAGATTTATTGGATTGCGCGAGGATCATCGGTAAAGTTTCGGGAAGCTGGAATTACACGTGGATTAACGTTGGTAGTAATTTTCGTCCTTATCCGCGCGCGCGCACCGCTGAATCGTGCTGAAGTTTCTTCAACAAAATCAACGTTGCGAAAACTCTCGGCAATTTTCTCACGTGTCGCGGGACCGTATGTATGCGTTTCGCCGAATGAAACGTGTCATGGCTCGACTGAAGCGTCCGGAGAAGAGAGGAAAGCAGCGGAGGAGGGGATATAACTGCGCTTGTATAATGCCATTGCATTCCATAAATTTTCCATCGTGAGGCGCGATTTTTCCTATTTCTCAGCCGCGCATCCTCGTTCATCCGTTTTCACGTGTGACGGCATAATTAAAAACAACGACGGCGATAAACCGCACGTCACAATCCGTCGTTAAAATTCAAATTTCAGTTAACTATTATCGCTGCACCGACCGCGAAAGACGTAGTTTTAATTCAGCCGCATTGAAATTGTAACACGGCCGTGTATGTATTAGCGCGCTGAAGAGAGACAATAATTTGACGCGAAACACGCGCCTCTAACTTTATCGAATAAATTATGTGACAGGCCAAATTAATATCACGATTGCGATGACGCAAATTAACAACTGGCGAACAACTTAAATTAATTTAATAATTCTTTTACAAATAGATATCGTAATGTTGGCGCTGATCAAGAATAAATGGTTGCGTTTATATTTGACGCGTCTATAATTGATTCGCCGCTCCGACGCGATCCCCTCCCCCTCCCCCCTGTCGCGGCGTCGTCGCAAGACAGTCGCAGCCACACGCTCGCCGTTCATCACCGCGCCTCAGACGTTTATTATCTAACGACTCATTAACAGCTTCACGCGCGCAGCACTCTCTGCCCATCATCATTCACGATTTGCACCAAGCAACGCGACGCGTCATTATTAACACTATCAGGGACAGAGAATTACGCGACGTAGACATATCGACTGTGTTAAAACTTAACGAGCCGTACTACCGGAACGTCGCCGGGTTATTGCAACGGCGAAGATTCGTATGGATGTGTGTTGACATGGTGTTACTCGCATCCACGAAGAGAGACGCGTGTCTCCTAGAGACCCTCTAATAAGAGTCGCGAAATAACGCAGGAAAGTAACACCATATTTTTCAGTAAAAACCGGAAATAGCGAACATTATCACGCCAGTATATTAGCCAGTTGGCCGTGTTGTAAAATGACATATATGTTATAAAATGGCATATATTAACCTATATAGACACATAGCCATCTAAATACAAATGTCAAAATATATTATTAAAGTGTTTTTTTTTTGTGAAATTTAGTATTAGATAAAAAAATTAATAATAATATATTAATTGACATTTGACTATTATTTCCGATCTTTGCTGAACAATGCCGGCTAATCAAAATTGGATTTCGCGACTCTTATTAGAGGGTCTCCAGTGTCTCCGAGCGCCGCGTGTCAATGTACGTGTGTTGCTGCGTTTATACAATCGCGAACCTCTCATAAAATTTACAGTTCATATATAGAGTCGGGAAATTTATACGCTTTTCCCACATCCGCCGATGTACGGTCTCTTCATTCGCGGTGATGCTATAACGAGACGATATATGGACAGCGGGATTCGTTAACGATCGAGCAAATATACGTTCAGCAAAAATAGGAACGATGCGCCGCGCGCGTGTTTGCGTATGTATATGTGACGTCGCTTACTTACGTTACTTATTTGCAAGGTAATGGCGCGACGGGAGATTAATGGAAGAATTAAGAGCTTCCTCGCGCCTGACTTTCGCGTATGACTGATCGGAAATTAGCGACACTGACAGCCGCCGGATGGCGGCGAGAGTTCTCGCCGGGGGTCACATGGCAGTGCCAAACGCTATTTCCATCCTGTGTTGGAGCATATTGTAGCCCGGGAGTAAAAGCGGCATGAAAAGTTCTCGCGATAGTTACTTACGCCCCATCTTCTCCTTATCGAGAGGAGTCCCGGGTGTACGGCGTGTGCACGATGGAAGACGGAAAGTCTACTAACTTCGGGGCGCGCAAGTAGTACATTAGGTAGATGGGTAAACAGGTAGATAGGTATACATGGGACCGTTAGCTATGTAGATGGATAAATGGATGGATATACGAATCGTTCGTTATGGCTCAGAGATTCCCTCCCGTAAAATCGATACCAAATACAGAATACGAAATGTACGGGGGGACGTGGCGTACAAGAGTGCAACGGTTCTCTATAATGAATCGAAAGTATAAATAAGAATGGAGTCCCCCAGAAAGGACTCATCAAAAATGTAATGAACTGAAACACGAAATTACTCGACTATTTATGAAACTTCTCTTGCCGCTACGAACTGTTTGGTGAATATTTTCTAATTGTTCCGCGAAAGTTTGTCGGAATATGGCTGTGCTTCGAGCTCTGCAAAATTAAATAGAGTTAACAATTATTGTTAACTTTATGATGCGACGTTTCGCTGCGGCATTTACGTGAAGGAAATTTCCATTCTATTAAATTATTCTTTTATGTTAATATTTCATATAGGATTTTTTTATTTTATAAACGTTATTTTAAAACGTTGCGTAACCCAATAAAAACATTAATGACGTTAATTTGCTATATTTATATCTAGATTAATGGAATTGGATGGAAATCTTTTTAATTATATTTTTTAATTATTTAAAATTTTATATCTTTATACAACTAGGAATATGATTCCGTGCCCTTATTATTTCTCTATGATCAATGTTTAATTATTACTATACTTTAATATTAATTGCTATCAAATAATTATAAACACTAGTACATACGTGCTCTCAGAGAACTAACTGTCATTAACAATGACTCTTGGTTAATCAGATTCGGTTAATCTATTCATTAAATGGAATAGGTCGCTGCGAATCGAACAAACTAATTCATGACACTATTTCTCTGGCTGAATCTTCCGTTTCTGACGACCGA